GTATATAATATTGTATATAATATTATCGGTAGGATGCAGATGTAATGCCTGCGGTAAAAAGTACAAATTTCGTAAGGCCGTCTTAAAAATCATCCACAAATTACGGTAGTTGCTTAACAGTCGCCGTCTGGTGACAATAAGAGAAATAAAAGATTAAAAAGATGGTCAGTTTAGCTTTTTTTTTCTAAGAAATCAATTTGTTGACGTTATAATAAATTTTATATATTTATATAATAGGTATATTTTAATATAACCACGGATTTATAATATCCATTGAAAATTAGGCCACATTAAACTCCTAAACTTTCTGATATTAGTTATTTATTTTTAAAATTTTTTTTTTAAATTCATAATGTTAAATTCATAATGTTATAAATATATGCATAATCTGCTGCTTCATGTTGCAATAATGTTCAGATGATATTTCAGATATTTTTATTGAATAAAGCTATTTTTAATTCAACATTGCGATCAGAAGTTTTTTCCACTCAGCAGTGCAGTCACTCTGGAAAAAAAAAATACTAGTGTTTTCGTTTTACAGTCTACAATAAAAAATTGTTTGTAAATGTGGAAATTTATTGCAAACAGAACATATATTATAATTATGCATATTATTAATGATGCATATTATTAACGTCAATGTTAGAGATGCCTGTCTTTTTTTTTAATTATAATGTTTTAAATATAATTAATATAAATACATATTTCTTTCCATGATTTTCTTTAATTTACAAGTGCAATCAGAAGCCGCTTGAACTCTTCGCTGCAGTCACTCTGTAAATGCAAACAGAATGTAGGAAAGATTAAAGCAATGTTAAATAATAAGCATAAAATAATATTATATTTATGTAAAAATTCAAAGTACATATATGCATGCATATTATGAAAGCGAATTTTAATTAATAAAATTAGTTACATATTTATAATCATGATTACTTTATTAATTAACAAATTCCGACATGTAATTTTTAACAATCATAAAACAAACTATTCATTTATTTACATTCTTCATTTTAATGCAAATAAATTAATTTTACGAGCAAACTTCTATAATAATATAATCAACAAAATCAAAGTACCATAATCTCTGTGAATTATTGATGTAATTTAGAACAAATTAAAATTAAAACAGCTACACAGCTTCGCGGAATGTTACGAAGAAGAATATATTCCTGGTATTAAAGTAAGATACAAAAACAAAAAGAATTGTTGAACATGAAAATGCTTTCATCCAAGTAGAGCAAGCAAGAGTCTCTTGTAATCTCCTGAACAGTCATCCTGAAATTTATGGAAAATTATGTGCAGCCCAGATACAGCAAAGTAATTAATTAGTTTAA